TTCGGTAAATAGACATACTAAAGAAAACCAAGTCGGAAATAAGAGAAACTTCCAATTATATATTACTGCTCTATTAACCCTTCAGAAAATTGGTTTTGTATCTATAGGATTGGCTTTTGATATAATGTAAATAATTTCCCCTTTGACGATAAGGTAAGCCATATTTTCAACTCAATAACTTAATGATCCATAGAGAATGTAGGAAGTTTTAGCTTCTCATATTTTAGGACAGAAAGCTGTGGATTGAGATAAAAACCATGGTCTCATATTCCATCCATGATATAGGGAAAAAAAAGGTCATGCTAATGGCATTTCAATTATCCCTTTGGGAAACTTATATTGGATTGCAATCTGATAGCTACTGATATATGCCTTGGACTTTGTATTCCAGGGTGAATACCACTATTGGAGCATTAGAGGAGAGGTTGATGCTCTCAGGTCTCCATACTGTTGCTGATATATTTTGCTGCTGTTGTGGACAAATCGTTGGCTGGAAATATGTATTCTCTCTCTCTCTCTCTCTCTCTCTCTCTCTCTCACACACACACACACACACACACGAGTCTTATACTGCATAATTTTAGCGACTTCATGCCCCTTAAACCATTTTTTGATTCCATATGCAGGAATCTGCACATGAGAAGAGCCAGAAATACAAAGAGGGGAAGTTCGTCCTTGAGAGGTATAAGCCTTCCCTCCACTTTTTGGTGTAAGCATGATATGCTTAACTTTCATCCTTATTTTGCCTTCATAATAATGCAGAGGGAGGATCGTCGATGAAGTAGATTTTTCGACAGAGTTCTTTGTTGATTCTCGTCCTAGCATGAGTAGCGATGCTGATGATGTTTAGGATCTGAATTTCGTTCCCTGAGTAGTTTGTACCAGACACTAGGCAAGGCAATACATGCAGAACAGCTGCACTGTTTATATGTAAATGACTTAATAAAAAGGATATTTGAATGACTCATGTGAAGTGTTTGAGGTAAAAGTTATGCCTTTTCAGTTTTCAGTGATTTGCATGGAACCCCACTCCTGGACGTAATTAGCATCTTCACAATTTTGATAAAGAAGAGTCATGTTTCCAAGATATCAAGCTAAGAAAAAAGAACTCAAGTATGATCAAATCATTCAAATTACCTGGTGTGTGGGATCTGAAGGAACCAACCACATTTGTAATTGCCTATGAGGGTTTCTAGATCATGGTTAGAAGTAAATATGTAACGTATTTGTCGAACTTCAAATTTCAAAACACAACTACTTCAAATTTTTATTTATTAATACAAGCGATAGTTTAGAGTACTGTAGATTAATACTTCATTTTTTAAATGTACAATCTATAGTTTATTAATTAAATTAATCTAATATAAAGGAAGAGGCATCCGAACTTGGGTGCAAGAGAATAGAATCGTTGCCTTAGCTAACTGGCCTAATCCCACAATTTTTTAATTTGAGTTTTTAGTTGTTTACACGAATTTTATCGGATTTCCCTTTCGAGTTGTTGCTTTTGCAATCTTGTTTGATCTTCTTGTTTGGTACACCTTTTGACATTACTGAAGTTTTTTTCATAATCAATATCGTTGTTTGATAAAATTAAAAGAAAAACAATTTTCTATAAAATAACATAAATAAAGGAAAAGGAAAATATAATGCAAAGTTTCTAGAGCGATCCCGGTCCAAAAAGAAAAAGGAATCATCGTATTTCTTATATTTATATATAAGGTGCAGCGGGAGCCAACAAAGCAGGTAGAAAGAAATTAGGCCGGAGAGCCTAAGAAACGAAATCCTTAAACAAACAGAGAACTAACCTCAAATCTCCAATTCCTAAACTTCTCAATCAATAAGAATAACCCTTTCTCCTTTCTCTTTTCCTTGTAATCTTAATTTGCTTTTAATAATTTTGATTGTTGCAGGTTTAACCTAATGGGCAAGTCTTCTTCTTCTCATCGAAAGAAACGCGCCAAGATTTCTTCTCAGGTCTCTCTCTCTACCTGTTGTCGTGTTTTAGGGTTCTCGTTTTTGGTTTTCATAGTCCTCTTTAAATGGGTTTTCTTTCCTTGCTTAAAAGATTAGATCTTTTTGCTGGTTAGCCTTCGAAAAACTCCGTTTGGATATTGACAAATATATATACAAGGCAGAAAAGAAAACGAAAAAAGGAAAATAAATAAATTAATTTAGGCAGCATTATAAGTTCAAGCTGCTGTGCTAATAAAATAGTTGAATAACTAAGCGTTAACTTCATCTGGTTTATTGGTTTTCCATGCCCTTTTGCTTATATGGTCATACCAACACGTTTGTATGTTATATTAGGATTTTATAGTTTGATTCATGTCAATGCCCAATGCTAATTTGTATATTTATGAACATGTATATGGCTTTCTTTAGGCAGGAACAAGGAAGAGCAGTAAGAGTAAGCCTAAAAGTAGGAAATATAGATCCAAGAAGCTTCGCCGCCGTGATGATTCTCCTTCTCATTCTGAAGACGGTGATTCGAGAAGTTTAGAATCTGTTTCGTCTTTTAGTTCTGATGATGATTCTAGAAGTAGAAGGGCTCGGTCCCGCACTAGGAGGGATCTGAAAGGTAGCAAGAAAAGGGCTCGCAGACGCTCCCATAGCCATGACAGTAGCGAGGACTCTCCCCGTGGAAAGAAGAGGAAATCGGCAAAGAAGAAGAATGATTATGAGGCGAGGAAGAAATCCCGTTCGAGGAAGAAGCCTAGGAGATATGCTAGCTTTAGTTCCAGGAGTAGTGCTTCTTTTAGTTGCTCAACTTGTCCTAGTGGTGATGAGATTGAATCTAAAAGGCACAGGGGCAGACCTGGCAAACGAAACAGAGATGAAAGTGATATTAACAAGGTTGAAAGTGGGACTAAGAGAGCTAGATATGGGTCAAGGAGCTGTTCTTCTCACAGTCAGTGTAGCGAGCATGGTGGTGATAGTCAGAGTGAGGAAAAAGTGACATTTGAAAACAATTTGAGGAGGTTGAGATCAGTTATTACTGTCACAGAAGAAGACAAGCATGGCAGATGGATGGATAAGGATGGGCACAAAGAAGAGATGGCATATGATGATGATTACCCTTCTTGTAGAAGTAATGATAGTAATGATGGAGGGTGCAAGAGGGAGTTGGATAATCATTTACATGTTGTTGAGAAGAGAATAGGAGTGGAGAGTGGGAAAGAGGAAAAAGCTCTTATTTCTAATGTTCCAATCGAAGATCTCACAGATAGTGGTAACATTTCGGAAACGGATTGTGGTGGCCAAGATGATGGAATGAACTCTGGCCGTGATGGAATAGGAATTGCTGGTCCTGTTAATGAAAATACGAAAGAGGTTTCTGGGGCAATTAGTAGTCTGCCAGGTGAAGATCTGGAGTCAATTTTAAGACAAAGGGCTTTGGAAAATCTAAAAAGGTTCAAAGGAAGCCATCAAAGAATTCCAGCAGTAACTACTAGTGAGGAAAACAAGAGCAATAATGATTTGAAACAGCCATCCACTGTAAAGGCTGATTTTGTTCAAATAGAATCCCCAAAGGAGAGTGGTGCTAGGGAGGTTGTTGCAAAGTCCTCCAAGGAGGGTGCCACTGAAATGGTTGTTGCAAAGTCCTCCAAGGAGGATGCTGCTGAAATGGTTGATGCAACCCAATTACTAGAAAAGGCCAATGGGCCTCCGGTGAGAGATTCCATTGTTTCTTCCAAAAATCTTAAAAAGGAATTGGATAGGACTAGTGGTAGCAATGAATTGCAAGGTGTTGCTTGCCCAACATATCAGGTGGCTCTTGGAAATTCCGATAAAAAGGTTGACACAACAGCAGTGCTTAATAAACCGAACTTGGCTTCACCAAAATTGAGGTGCCACTCAGCAAAAGCTCATTCCACGCTGAAACAAGCAGCTGGTTCGCAGGAACCTCCTCATGAAAGATTATTGGTGATTGAGAATAGTGTAGATAAGAGTACTTCTGAGACTGCCCAAACTGTGCCCCAAACCCAAAGTACCTATAGTAATGGTGATGATATCAACGACGATCGTGGTTGTACTGCTCCTGAACCTTCGGGAGAGAATAGGTCTGATAAACAGCAAGGTGAGGGTAAGGATGGCTCACAGTTTGAGCAGAAAACCATGTCTGTCATGCGAGGCAGTGAAATGGTACAGGTGGGTGTTTTGATCTATTACAGATTTTTATACTTCTTTTTACCTGGCAACTTAATAAAAACGCTTAGTTAGCAGCCGCGGGGCCGGGCCGGGGGGGGGGGGGGGGGGGGGGGGGGGGGGGGGGGGGGGGGGGGGGGGGGGGGGGGGGGGGGGGGGGGGGGGGGGGGGGGGGGGGGGGGGGGGGGGGTGTGGGGTGTGGTGGTTGGTGGTTAGGACAAACCTTTTAAGGTTGGTTTTCAACTGGCTGTACCATTAGGGCACACGATCACCACTTTAGCTTTTAAGTTTGATAGTCTATTTTCAGACCTTAAAATAAAATTTGATAGTCTATTTTTTACTGTTTGCTTTAATGTTTTAATAATTTTTGCAGGTGAGTTACAAGGTTTACATCCCTAAGAAAGCTCCTGGTCTGGCGAGGAGGCAACTCAGGCGGTGATGTCTCATCATCATTCTGGTGCACAAGTTGCTCTTGATGAAAGCTCTAAACGCATTTAGATGGATCTTCCAATAAGCTTCAAACAATATTCCTTTAAAAAGGGATGTGTGCTTTTGGAAAAGTGATGCTTGATTGACCTTTTGTGCAGGCATTCTCATCCTCATGAACAATAGAAATCTGCGGTTTAGTAGCTGTTTTTGGTAGTTATATCATCCGTCATGCACTTGGTCACCGGTGTTATTCAATAGTTCCTGTTGTATCATCAACCTTCTCTAAAATTTATTCTCTCTCGTTTCTAATTGTTTTCAGTTTATGTAACCTGTTGACAATATAAAATAAATAATAAATTAATAATCTGTTCAGAATAATATATTGCGTGCAATGAATTCTTTTTCTACTGTTATGTAACTTATTCTCTCTGTGGTTCGCTGTTGTTTGTGCTAATTCTCTCAGTATAAAGGATCCACAAAGGGCTGTGAAGGGTTTGTAGTGGTTTAAGAGCATATACCCGCATCCAAAACTAAAGTCTTGTATTTGATCCTCCCACCCCTTATTTTGTATCATATATTGAGCATTTGTGAAAGGAGCTTGTTAGGTCAAGGAACATTCACTATAGTTCCCATTTAACATTTATAGATTACTGCTTTACCCAATGGCAACCAGCAAAGGCACACTGAAGTTGCTTGCAAATTTGTAATCTATATCGAAATTATTTACACAATCTAAACGTTGAGCCAACTAAATATCGAGTAATGACCATGCTAGCAAGGATACTATCCAAGTGAGGAAGATAATTTTATTTTGATTTCTCTAACAAATCAACATCAGCCATCGTTCCTCTGCCAAGAGAAATCTGATTATACAGGATCATCTGACCTACTTTATCATGCACATAATATGATGGAACTGAGATGAACGTCTCTACAAGGAAACAAAATAATATATAAAAAGACAGATGAATGAGCAAGATCTGCCTGCTATTTCATTTGAACATTGTTCAAGCAGTCAGCTCAAAACAAGTTGTCATGGGTGGCTGCTGCTTCAGAAAGACTAATCCCAAGTGCGTGTAGAAATTAGAAAAACTAATCTCAGTGGTGTCCACTGCTACATGAATTTCTGCATGCGATTGCAGTCGTTTTGAGTCAATCCTACAGGGATAGCAATAAGCAGCTGGTGATTTTCCTCTTGAGAAAAACGCAAGTGCCCTGTTTCTTTTTTTTTTTTTTTTTTTGGTGTGGGTGCCAGAGCCCTGTTTCATGTTGAATGACCTAAATAATATCAGCAAATGGTTGGAATTGTTAATGCGAGCTTCCATGATGTAAAATGAGCAGACACCACCAGCTTCTCATCGAAGAGCCCCGCTAATTGACAATACTGTCCAACTTGTTCATCAAATTGCACTT